AATTGGTATATACGGAATGAATTCAATAACCAACAACTACTATTCTTAAAATTTTGTTTTGTAGTTTTTAAACTTAATAGTGATTAAATTTGGATTTTAAAATTGCCAGTTTTTAATTTTAATATTAAATTTTATCATATAATTTTATAATTATTGGTTAGTATAAATTATTTTTTAATATTACACGTATTTTAAAGATCTGAATAGCTATTATAACATGATTTCGTTGTCAAGCTTTTGAATCTTTCTATACTTAGTTTTTGATTGGTTATTCTAGCTTTTGTAACAATGTTTCCCCCTAGTGTAGGATCATTAATTAATCTGAAACTTTTAAAACCATTTATTTTATCTTCAACATCATCACTTGATAAGACACCGAGTGTGTTGAAACAAAATGGCTATTTTTGTAGTGATTTTATAACATACTTATGTTATAATTTTTTTATAAATAATAATTATATATATATATATATATATATGTGGGGAGAAGACTATTTTAGTTATATAAATACATATATACATACTATTACATTAACACAAACGTACACATATCAGTTCACATGTGGTGAAACCTGGGTAGGTAGCATCTGGCTCATTAGGATTTATTTTACTTTTGCTCTACTTAGTGTACTGAACACTTCGTTTTAACTTATTACTCGCTGTTTTTTTGTTTGTTTTTATTCTTTGTAGCAGAGATTTAAGGTACTGGACGATTTTTTTCGCCCCGTTCGGAGATTTCTGGTTCTTTTTTTTTCCAATTTTTCTCGGTTGCCAATTTATTTGAAAATTGTGCCATCCAGGTTTTTTTCACTTACCGAGTTTAAATAGATTTACATTATATATATATATATATATATATATATATATATATATATATATAATGATTATATTTCATTATTATTATAATTTGCAATGTATTATACATTGAGCTCTCATATGGGCTGAAAAGTCCTCTTTGACATAATCCCTACCAATTACAATTTGGGATTATATATATATATATATATATATATATATATATATATATATATATATAAAATGGTGGTACTCTGCTTGGAAAACTCTTGGGCATGTTGGCTTGTAGTAGAACAAACCAGTACCCATGGAAAAATGAAGAATAAAAAAAAAAGAACTAAGAACATAAAATTGAGGCGAAAATAATCGTCCAGAGTTCAAGATCAGAGTCCAAAGAAAAAAACTCCAAAACGAGTAAAAGCAACTACGTAAAGTGCTCAATACACGAAGTAGAGGAAACAATCCGTTTAGGTGAATCCTAGGTAGGTTTGCCTGGCTCTTTTAGGTTTATATATATATATATATATATATATATATATATATATATATATATATATATATATATATATATATATATATTATAAACGTGCAATCAATTTACAAATACATGAATTATTCACACAAAACTAATGCAAAGGTTAATGATTTAAATGGTGAGACATCCATCATTGCAAACAATTCAAATAGTATACAAAAACCTCCAGATCCGTTATGAATGAATTGATCCTTGTTTATATAAATTTCTGCCGTATTAGTTGTTATTTTTACTACAAGCTTTCGTCTGTTCCTACAGACATCTTCAGGTATAGAATAGATGTTGTTTTTTTTTTGTTTTTTTCTCTTAGTAATAAGAGGCCATTTAAATCATTAACCTTTGCATTAGTTTTGTGTGAATAATTCATGTATTATATATATATATATATATATATATATATATATATATATATATATATATATATATAGGTTTTATCTAGGTCTGCTCTACGGTTGTATTGAGCTCTTTTGTTAGTTGTTTACTCGTGTCGGGTTTTTTTTTGGGAATCAAACCTGTATCTGTGCGATTTTTTTCATGTTTCTAGCTCTTTCTTTTTTAAAACCTTTTTTTCCCTCGAGATTGATTTGATTATTGGCAAATCAAAAATTCGAGGGTTTTTCGAAATGAGTATAGTTACCTATATTTGTATATATATATATATATATAGAGAGAGAGAGAGTAAGAGACAGACAGAGAGAGAGAGACAGAGAGAGAGAGACAGAGAGAGAGACAGAGAGATAATAGTAATGATAATATTAGTCGTTTCCTTACAAGGAAACATTTGGAATTCATTGACGAAGCAGCCAATACTACATTCAATTGAAATTTATTAAAACTTTTTTAAAACAATTTTCCTAGAAAACAGATTTCTCAGGTCCGGTAGCTGTTATTGCTCTTTCCAGTATTGATAGTTTATTTTTTCTTTCTAACCTTTTATTCCAATTAGTGTGGAATGTATATATCTCGATTATGTCAATATTTTCTTTTCGAATTACAATTTTATTTTTTGCTGCTATTAGTAGCCCTCATGTGATTTGGTTTTTGTTATTTGGCCCAGTTCTTTGTCCGTGAATATGTAGCGCCAGTCCACAATTTTCAAAAGATATCTTCAAATAAAAGCGATACCTATGGTTTAAAATGATTTCTCTCTGAAAGCTTTTATTTTAGTTTTAATTTCAAGGTAATAGAATGAATTTAATATTTCTAATAAGCAAACTACTTTTCTGTATTTCAAAACAAATTTAAATTGACTGGAATTATTTTTTAAATCGTTAAAATTGCCAAAAATCGGCCATTTTAGCGAATCTCATTCCCCTTATTAAAAACACCTTTCAAAAATAAAATATACTTTTCTAAAACATTATTTGAGGAAAATTACCTGATTCAAAGTTTAATTAATCTAACACGGAGGTGGGAATTTCTATCTTTCACGGTAGACTTAGGTTTGTGAATTTTTTCTACTTGAGACATAACTGTAAAAATTCGCGAATATAACGTGAGCGCCGTTTTTATATAATTTTTAACTACCCAGTAATCTAGATCCATAACATATCTTATTCATAAAAGCAATTAAAAGCTTTTTTAATTAAATAATGTCTTAGTTTTATTGCATTTTTATTTTACCATTCAGATCAGATTTTCTATAACTGGAGGTCCTTGTTTTAAAAAAACAAACTGACGATTTAAATTTTCCAAATTTGTCTTTATAATTAATATAAACATTAAGCTACAAAAATGTATTCCTTGAGATTTCATAATATTACATAAGGTAACAAATATAAAAAATATTTTTACTAAATTTTCTCGAACAATTTAATTAATTTGTGAATAAGTCCTGAAAACTTCATTAAAATTCGACTATTATTTGATTTTTGCAAGAATTTCGAAATCAATGTGTTTGCTATCAAGTGGACACTAATGTCAACACCGAGCGACGAAAGTCTGTTTCATTGTTGAAAGCAAGATTGTGTTCAGAGAAACTGAAAAAGACACTAGAAATAACTGTATATATCCATATAAAATATATTTCATTTTAAAAAATAGGAAACACGAATTCTAACGTGTATACTCGAAATTCGATAAAATCTAACACCGGAAGCACCGTATTTAAAAAAAAAAAAAAATTAAACTCATGGTATTGTAAACAGCAAAAAATTTTTTGCAGATGGCAAGTATTTGCAATGGGAAGATACATTTACAAATACGAAGCGGAAATTAGAAAAGTCATTAGAAAAATCAAAATGTAAAAAAGAAAGCTCAACAAGGAACTTTTGTTGGTTTTTAATCAAACGTCGATAAACGAAAATTTGCTGCCCAAATAAACACAGTGTGTGTGTGTGTGTGTGTGTGTGTGTGTGTGTGTGTGTGTGTGTGTGTGTGTGTTTTAAACAAGTTGTATTAAATTCTCCCGAAAAGTGTTGGCTACCTGTTTAATTTTGTATTATATTTATCCGAGATTCGTATCAGTTGTTACACATCCGGATCAAAATCAGACATTTTATCCGCAATTTTGATCTTGCTCCCTAAGCAGAGGAGCTGAAAAGTTATCGACCCAAAATATGACCAAATGGCCAAACATCAGATATTTATGGATGGTCGTCTTAGACAAGTCTAGAACGTTTTTAGCATCACTCTTACGCATGCGCACAAGTAGCGTTCATTGACGATTTGCTGTGAACCATTCCCAGTATATGGAGAGCTGGTAAGAGAACGTAATGTTATTTCATTTTTATTTAACTGTATGCGACTTTGTTTTTCAATGAAATTACGTCGAAAGCAAAGGATTTTAAACAAAATAAACTTTCGTTCATTGCAATAAATGAAACCAGTCAAAAGTCTGAAATATTAAATCAACTGAGATGAACTGGCGACAGTTTCACACATTGAATTCTCATATACGGGAATTAATCCGTCAATTGGAAAAAAATAAATTAAAATGTAATTGGCACAGTTTCTATTCCATTTCAGAAAACATGTTTAAATTAATATTTACTGTAAAATACAATACATATATGCATATATATACATACATACATATATGTATATATACATACATATACATACATATATATATATATATATATATATATATATATATATACGGTAGTTACCATAATGAGAGAAGGGAGGATAAAAAATTAAATTCTACAGACTGTGATAAAAGTGCAATAAATATTGTTTAAAATTTATTTTATACGTGTAAATTAACATAAAAAGAATAAAAAATAATAAATGTTATAGAAGAAAAAATGTTCATATGTGTGTGTGTGTGTGTGTGTGTGTGCGCGCGTGTGTGTGTGCGCGTGTGTGTGTGCGTGCGTGTGGAGGGGATACAGACAGAAAGAGAGAGAGAGAGACAGGCAGACAGAGACGGAGACAAAGTGAAAGAATAAAATTTACGTCTCACATTCCTGTCGACCTCAGACATTCACAGCTAGTGGCAAATTCCGTATTACTGGAGGATAACACGTTTAAGGCGAGCAGATCTTGTAAATAAAGTGCTCGATATTGAGAAAGACATTGTTAATAGAAATAAATAATGTGCATATATAAATAAATAAATAAAATCAATGACTTATATCCCAACTCTGAGTTTCTAGTTAATTCGATTGAAGAGCGGAGTAATTTCTACGAAAATCAGAGTTGGGACGTGTGGCCTTGAACTTTATTTTTATCGACAGATAGATAGATAGATAGATAGATAGATAGATAGATATGAATATATATGGTCTAAGGGAAATAACTCTTAATTACTGTGTTTAAAGTTATTTCCCTTGAATTGGTGAACTTATAAAAGGCAATATGTTTTCTTTTCACTCTTTTTTCTTTCCATTTTTCTTTATTCGTGAATGAAAAAAATTAAGCAATTTTTGGCGATTATGATAAAAAGTTTTTCCTATATTTATACTTCAGTTTTCCCGATAAAATCCCCAAGGACCACTTTAAGCTTTGATTATAAGGGAGGGGAACGGAGGAAATAAGTGGTGCATATTATGATTATATGTAGGATAGATATTAGTTGAGCCTGAACGTGAAGTTTGTATTGGTCAGGGAAGCATCTTCTGCACAGTTCTGGGGAAGAAGCTGTCTGAATGGAACTTACGCCTTACCAAAGGAACTCGAAAAGTTGAGAATGATTTACCACTGCGAACATGGCATGACAGTTCTGAGCTGATTGAACTAAGGGACGTAACTCGTTTGAAGTTTTATAATAGTAATAGCGATAGTGGGATGTTATCAACGTTCAATTATGACCGAGTAGTGAGTTCGATCCTCACTGGGTGCACCATACTTTTAGCTTTGTGCTACATCTAAGCTATGATTAGAAAATAATTTAGGGACTCTCTCCACCCTGGTTTCTTCCGGAGAGATTGGCAGAGAAGAAGTTTTTTTTTTTGCTCGTCGGAGTAGATGCTGCAGTTCCGTGCCGGTGGCCTTCTTTCCTCCCTTACGTTCTTCCCACCTTTTGCGTAACATCTGCTACGTAGCGATGGTATGACCGGCTATGACCAACTTAGACAAGCTATGACCAGCTTACACCAGTGACCCAAGTGAAAACGTCCCCACGTTAAAAACCGACCTTGTGTCAAAACCTGACTCGGGGTGAAAGGTGCGGTAAGGTCAACCTCGGGATGTTATCAACGTTTCGTCTGTGGGTTGTGATGGCGGAAACATTTGCTTAAAACAAGATTTTCTGTCCTCGGCTGAAACAAGTGTTACCGATTTAGGCAGAATCAACATTTCCGTAGATTTGTCGTGGACCGTATGTGTTAATGTGAGGTTGTATTAGAAACACGTGTTTAACTCCTTGTAGAATATTAAAAGGTTCAACTACAAGAAAATTGCCGGATTTGAATTAAGTCCAACTGAAGATAATGATGACAAACAAGACCGATATATATATATATATATATATATATATATATATGTGTGTGTGTGTGTGTGTGTGTGTGTGTGTGTGTGTGTGTGTGTGTGTGTTAAACAAAACAATTTTAAAATGGACATAGACAATAATATTTGTGTGTGTGTGTAAACATTGGTGTCTGTTCTTTGGTGAATGTTCGTACGTACGTGTATGTGTGTATAATGTTCATGGCGTCTCCCACAAATGGGAAAACGCGGATCTTCTAAGAGAGCTTACATTGTAGTCGCTGAAATGAAGAAATGAAAAAGAGAACGAGGCGAGAAGTCGCCCAGTATTTATAGTATAGGGAGAATGACCCCTATTGACAATTTGAGAATTAAGGAGGGGCTAACTCCGACAGATTAAAGAGTTCAGTTCAGAATTCCCTGTAGGTTACCCAGATCGATCTACACCTGAGGAAGGCCGGAGGGTACAACGACTGGAAAGTTATGATAACAACAACAAAGCTCAGGACAATAGTCCGAATATAAATAGTGTCAATAACAATTAGCAACGCGCTTCGTGTAAGAAATTCTAACAACTTAAGACTATGAACGAAAGAGAAATAAGATGAAAGAAATACTAGTCAAAAATTGATAATTATTAACAATGCTTCATATAAGAATCAAAAAATAGGTTTGGGCGGAAAAGTTTAATTTCTACTACTCTACCAACAATATCTCACTTAGCTCGACTTAATTAAATAAAGTGATATACTTTCACTGATATTTTATAGTAATCTTTTGTAGGGGGGAGTTATACTCATTGAGAGATTATTGGACGCAGAAGGTGATATGTTGTTGGCGCTAACTCATTTAAGGTAGTAGCAGTGATTACTACTTATTCCGGGTGTTGTCCGGAATAAAACAATCTTGACCCAACGTACATAGTGTCGGAGTTAACTTCTCCTTAATTTCCTAATTGTCCAAATTGTTCCTAGGAGTCGCTATCTCTAAAGTATAAATACTTGTGAATACTTCGTTCTCTCTCTCTCTCTCTCTCTCTCTCTCTCTCTCTCTCTCTCTCTCTCTCTCTCTCTCTCTTCCACTTTTCATCGGACACTGCGACCATGTATGGCTCTCGCAGAAGATTCAGTTTCCCCCTTCGAGAAGGGGGGCGCTATGCTTTTCTTTGGAAAGACGTTATGAACATTATGCACACACACAGACGCGCGCGCACACACGAACATACATTGAAACATGAAGCCTCTGCGTTCATACATACACACACGTTAATGATTATGTCTATTATAAACCCTTTTTGAATATTTTTTTAGTGTGGTGAATATAATAAAACCCTTGAAAAGAAGGATATGTTAACATATACACATTTGAGTAGTTTTTAAATACACTCTTGAAAGGGAAAAGTTAACATACACACATTTAGGTGTGTTTAATAAAAACCCTTCGAAAGAGGAAATTTCACATACACACATTTAGTTATTTTTGATGGAGTCCATAAGAAGTGAAAAAATTCATAAACACATTGAGGTGTGTATAACGAAGTCCAAAAAATGGAAAAGTTCAGATTCACCTTGAGGTGTGTTTATAATAAAAATCCTTAAAGGGGGGAATGTTTGTACCTTGGTTTCGTTGTAGAATCTACATAAGAAAAGCGGGACACGTTGTTTCAGTTGATTATTAATCCGTTTGAGTTGACAACGCGGAGTTTATTCTCTAACTGAATTTTCCTTGGTGTATGGTCTGTATTTATAGATTTCTTTAAGCGGGTGCTGGCTCGCAAAAAAGGTCCCTCAAAAATGTGAAGGAATGGTTGTCAGTGGTCGACTAATAATTTACATAATATTTCGAATATTTCTAAAACGCTGCCGGAAGTGCTACTCGGAGCCTATGAGCAAATAACTGTTTTATCATTTGACTCCTGACAGCAACTTCAGTCGACCTGACAAGTTTATCTTTACAACATTCGCGTTTATAACTTGGATACTCGTCTCTTCAAATGTTTAATAAGGTTAAGAAAAACGCGTGCTACTCCAAGGGAAATATGTTTATATTAATAATACATAGGCGATCTACCGTGCATACCTACATTAAAAAATAGTAAATGCATTTGTGTTTGTTGTTTTTTGGGGGTGGGGGGTCTTTTGGGGGGTTGTCAGAAAAAGTAATGGGTATACCTTCCAACGGTTTCTGGCAGAGTGAGGTATGGACGGAGAAACACCTGCTTTTCTTGGATTATATTTTATCTACATGTTATTTTGAATAAATGGTCACATGTCATATTTCGTCTATGTTAAAAGAGGCTCATTTTTTCTTTTCTTATTTTTTGTTTTGTTTTTTTGCTGTATCTTTCATTTTTCTTACATATGTCACGTTGTTCTCAATTACTGATCTACATTTGATCTAACTTATATGCCTACCATAAATCTACTTCGATCTACCCTTAATTATTTGATTATCAGACCTTAGTACTAAGATTTCCAAACCAATGTCACATCACCGGCAATCTGTTGCAAAGTGATTTCTACCAAATACAGATATGAGGTGTTTTTCTTGTCTCGGTGTCAGTTGCCATTGTTTGGTTTGGGAGTAACTTTTTCTTTTATTTCCCTTCTTTTGCTAAGGTCACCGCCCCCCACCACTTATAGCTTTACTTCCCGAAGGAATTAGCTACAGTTTTTTACATTGTTTATAATCAACATTTAATGTGACAGGTTTTCTGGAAATAACTTTTTAAAAGTAATGATTGTTCAGTAAACTTAGACTTAAAAAAAAAGAACAGTTTTTCCCTTGACGCCACTATTATTTTAACTACCTTCACTCCCTTTTCTATTTTTGTGTATTTACTGAATTCATTTTCTCTCATTTTGCAGGCAGTTTGCTCCCTGTAAAAGTTTCAGATTATTCTAATATCCTTCCCAAATAAATCAAGCTCATCTAAAAGTTCTAACATTTCTTTGTCAAACGCTTATATTAAACAGATCTGTTTATAAAAAGTGTCGTTCATTCAAATGTTTACTGACACAGCAGACGGGGAAAGCATATACAACATTTCATGAGATATTAATTTACTACAGAAATACTTAGCAAATAATTGTAATGCTTATGTAACTTGTTATATCATGAGATTATGGCGCGGGCAGACTGTTTTCAAAGTTTTCCCAGACATATTTGTTATAAGTGTTGTTGTTATATATTTTTTCTCGTACCAAGAAAGATTTTTACAATCGATTTTACAGGTATTTGACAAAACAGAGACACTATTTTCACCGATTTAATATAAATTCATGTATTTAATAGGAGCAGATACGTTCGCTTATCGTCCGGTTCGCACTCCTCCCCGGTCTTTTGAACAGGAGTAGAGGTTTATCCCTTGTCTTCTATTTAGGATTTGGTTTACTTCTAAAAAGTATTTTCATTCTCTTTTACTCCCACTAGCTTCTTACGCGTTAGTGGCGTTATCACCTTGCCTTGGGTAAATTGATTTAAAAATATATATTTACAATATATATATAAAAATATATATTTACAAACGCTTTGCTTGATGATGATGAGTAATGTAAGAAGTAATGTAAAAATAACAAGTTGTCGTCCGTAAAAAAAATATCTTTGAAGATTTTTGGTTTTAATTTTTATTTTATTTTTAACTTAGTTTTTTTTTTTTTTTTTTTTTTTTAGTGTGTCTACAAACAAAAGTTAATGAGAAATAGTGAAATAGTTTCAGGTATAAGTGGGCAGCCTAGAAATATCTGGCAAAAATCCGCTGCACTATCTTTTCTCATGATCGCCATCTTGGCTCTTATTTTTATCGTCAGCTTTTACATAACTGTCAACTTCCGCTAATTCCCATCTTCGAAGGTATCACGCAGCTGATGCCCATCTTCAGTGGATATTGATCCTCGCTAGAATTTGGTGAAAAAAGAAGGAACATGAGTTAATACATTTATGAATAAAGCAAGAAACTCATCAGGTAATCAAAGAAGACATTCACATTCGGACCTTTCACCCCCTCTCTCTCTCTCTCTCTCTCTCTCTCTCTATATATATATATATATATATATATATATATATATATATATATATATATTAAAGACATTTTATGTTTATACATTCTTTTTATGCATCCAAATATTCAAAGTAAATATCAGTTTTATAATAAACAGTATTAAACAACATTTACCGGCCTGAATGTCCGAGAAATTTTCACAGAAAATATCCTGTCGGAGGACAAATATTTTCTGTGAAAATTTCTCGGATATTCAGGCCGGTAAATGTTGTTTAATACTGTTTATTATAAACAGACATTTACTTAAATATTTGTATCTACAAAAGAATGTATAAGCATAAAAAATGTTTTAAAAATAATTGTTGGACTTTGTCTATTTCATAATGTGTGACGTCATATATATATATATATATATATATATATATATATATATATATATATATATATATATATACGTATATGTCACTGTAGATAACAAATATTTGAAATATGTAATATCCTTCGCAGCAAGGTAAACTACAGTACTTCGTTTGATGACGAAATTATTAACAATATCTAAAACAGCTGACGTCTTTCGAAAACTTCGTCATCATCTTTGGGATGAGCATTGTTTATCCTTTAAAGAAAAAATGAGTATTTATCGAGTAGTGGTTCTTACAAGCTTACTCTGTGGATCAGAACACCACTGGACAACATATCGAACCTAAATCCGTCAATTAAAGATTCTTTTTATAAGCCCTCCCTTTGTACCATGTGTATCTATACTTGTTTATCAACGTAGACCTGTTGGAAAAGTACGAGATTGGAAGCATTGAAACGTTCTTAAAGCAGTCACGCCTCAGTCATGTGATCAGAATGAACGCCCACGAAATATCCCAAATCCTCATACGTAGCCAACTGTGGATCGCAACGTGTTGGTCGACTACTATTAAGTCAAAAGGATAAACTCAAGTATAATCTGGTGACCATCAACGTTTCTCCTTTCATTTTTTGAGTCTGTTGCTGAATGCCGTTCAAAATGGAAGACGTCTTGTCATCAAGGAGTTAAACATTTTGAGGCATCGCGTCTAGGTCAATTTAAGGGATCAGAGATGTAAGGCGAAAGCAAGATTACTTGAACCGATATTATCACCTGACCCTTTAACTTCATGTCACATTTGTGGACAAGTATTCAAATCCAAAGTTGAATTGACGTCACACAAATGAGATAAACATAAACCGAACTTAAACAAATTATGAATTGTCGGAAACTCATGCATCAAATAGGACGGGAGAGTCTATTATATATATATATATATATATATATGTGTGTGTGTGTGTGTGTGTGTATGTGTGTGTGTGTGTGTGTGTGTGTGTGTGTGTGTGTGTGTGTGTGTGTGTATAGATATATATTATAAATTTACTAATTTAAAAATACAGTCCCACCGCTACCCAAGAATTACCATGTTTCAAAGACAGAAATTAAAAAATTATAGAATTAAATTAAAATCCCTAGTACTGTTTCATTTTCAAGCGATTTTCGGAATAACTTATTTTGAAATTTACTGAGTTTATAAGCACATATATTCTTTATATTAGTCGCTAAGGTTACGGGAAATTCAATCATTTTTATAAGGGGTGGTAGGATATTCATTTTCATACCTGTGTATCAAAATATGAGTTACTTTCAAAATCAGGTTAAGTTAAGGTAGGGTAGGGGTGTCTGTTCAACATATGATGACATCCGTTTTTCGCGTGTCGTCTGTTTTTTTTTGGGGGGGGGGTCAAAGTCAAAAAGTTTTTGGCATTTTTATTTTGCCGTTTAATTTATAATTTTATACACAAAGTTTTTTTTTTTTTTTCAAAAGGGTCTTTTGAATATGAGTGCGTCGTATTTTTAATATTTAAAATCTATTCCTACAATTTTCAATTATTATTCCTAATTTTAATTACCAATTGACTATACGTTCTTTTTTAGACAAATTTATTAGAATTACTGTCTTATTTAAAACCTCTTATTCAAAGATCAACTATAAATATGTATGGTATAAAATGACAATTGGAAAAAAATCTTAGATTTTGCCGACGCGTTTCGTCTTCCGACTTTTTCAAGGCAAAAATGAAATTGAAATGTTTTTGTTGTTATAGTTACATTAAAAAATCCAAATTTAAAAAGATAGACGCTTCTGTCTAAGCCTTTTTTTTTCTGGTAATTTAACTATATTGTCGACATAGAAAAAATCCCTTACTGTAAAGGTAATTTACATTAACCAGAAAAAAAAGGCTTAGACAGAAGCGTCTATCTTTAAATTTGGATTTTTTTTAATGTAACTATAACAAGAAAAACATTTCGATTTCATTTTTGACTTGAAAAAGTCGGAAGACGAAACGCGTCGGCAAAATCTCAGATTTTTTTTTTACAATTGTCATTTTATACCAATCTTGTCCACAGAATTGATCTGGGAATTTAACTATAAATATGTATGTTTCATTTTTCATCTTTTTTCTTCTTTTTTTCATATTTAATCATTATTTAAGGAAAATCTTTGACAGTGTCTGCAAAAAATGGCTATTTCATTTCTTTAAGTAAATTTTTATTTTTCATAAACTTAATAATGTATAATTCCTCATGTATGCACAAAGCACATGGGCCACTTAATGACCTACAAACTCTAGTTTTTCTTATTAATTTCCATTTTACTGCAGGTGTTTTATTGGTTTCCTTTAAGTGCCAGAAATATTTAGATAGGGACGTCTGATTCGATATTTAATAATTTTAAAAGAACTTTGATGTTGGTTCCAACGCCTTTTGAATTCATGTCTTGTGCATCCAATGTAAACTTTAACTTTGTCTGGGTCCTCAATAGATGAGATATTGCATTGGTACACAAATGATTCAGTGTGACATTTATTATTAAGAGGACAGTTTTGAGGATTTCTACAGTTACATAATTTTTCTTTATTTTAATTTCTTTTTATTATACTCTAAATTTTTTGGGTTTTGGTCTAAGTATTTACTCAAGATATTAGCATTATATTTCTTAATAATCATTTCTAAGTTTTCAGTATAACTGTAACTTAATTTTAGGGTATTGTTATTAAAAATTGTACTGAGTTTACTGTCTCTAGAAAAATGTTTAATGATTATTGCAAGGAATTTTTGTCCTAATTTATTTTTTACGATTTGGTTGTTTGGGAGTGTATACCAAATGATTTTCCTACTTCTGTTTTTACTATGATTTCCACTTTCATTTTTTATATAATTAAGTTTTGGGCATTTGTAGCCAATATTCTTTAGCACTTTATTATAGAAATTACTATGTTCATAGAAAATTTTCCCATTTTCTGAATTTGTACTTATTCTCTTTTCAATAGATAAAGGCATATGTTTAATTATAAATGGGGGATGATTAGATTTAGGGTGTATATACAAGGGATTAGTATTGTTTTTTTTTTTTTTATAAGGTATGTATATATTATTCATTAAATCTAATGTTATATCAAGGAAGTTCACCTTTTTCAATTTAATACTTACAGTAATTTTCAAGTTCAGGCATTTAAGTTCCCTGTATAATCATTTTCTAATTTTATCAATTTTAAAGTTTGTTTATAACCATAAGCCCATCATCTCTGTACAGTCCAATGTCAGTTATACTAATTTCGCGATATGCTGTAAGATCGTATAATATAAAAAGATTTATAGGGTCAGAAGACTCTGCAGAGTCCAATGATTCTATTGTGATGTCGAAGTGGTCATTAGAATTTTTAATCCATTGTTCGCCGTGATGTATGAGTACCGATTTTTTCGCATTTAAAATAATTATTTTCTCTTCTTCTGTTATGTCCGAATATTGGGTAGCAAAATCTATAGCATTCGTGCAAAGTTCCTTTGATATCGACTGGTAGTAATACTCAATATCGAACTGTATTATAATAATGTTTATGCTCTACAGAATTATACTGAGCATTTAAAAAATAAAAATAATTAATAAGAACACCGGATCGAAACTCTGTATCATAATTCTATGAACTTTTGTTAAAAATAATGAAGAAGTGTTTAATTCAGATTATTTTTTGAAATGTCACCCCCAACACGAAATTTCTAAAATCATATCTAAGTATATTATGACTTTCTGGCGCATTATAGAAATTTATGGAACTTTTTTGTACTTGTTTTTGTTTATTTGTAAGTTTTATATGTTATGCTATAGTTATAAACTGTTAAATGCATTAAAAATACATAAGTACTATCGAATTACATCATTAGCAAATTGAAAAATAAATCTTCTGAAATATATTGATTTTTAGCCTTATTGCGTATGTGGTAAAATCAAATTTTAGGTTTGGGAGAATGTGACATTTATCAAGACCGAAAATAAATTAATGCTGTTTTTCATTACTTCATCAATTTATAACACAGGAAACATAGGGTTACAAAAAGTCGTAACCGTTTATTTATATATATATATATATATATATATATGTATATATATATATATATATATATATATATATATATATATAAGTATATATAGATGAGTGTGTGTGCAAATATATATATATATATATATATATATATATATATATATATATATATATATATATATATATATATATATATATATATATATATATGTAAGATGTTGCCAAAAATTAGGTGTAGCATGTTTGACAAAAACAAAAGCAATTCGCTCAATAACATTGGCAGCGGAAGAGGCTTCTAGATGGCTTTCGTTAAAAAGCTCATGTGATTTGGCAGTCAGTAAGGAAATGAAAGGAAGTTGCGGTTTATATATAGATATATAAATTTGGGGGGGGGCTGGGTATGACCTAAAACTACATCCGACAATGGAGTCTCGACTAGGGGACAGAAGTAGGGTACCCCAAAACCATTGTTACCTACGGGTGAACCCGTGG